GGAGGCTAAATAAAGGTTTCTAAAGACTAAAAAAGTGTCTTAAGGTAGAACGGTACGTTTCATATGGCCAGCTATACATACGCTGGATAGTTCTCAGGAAGGTAGCTAAAACAATATTTGCATGGAAGGGGGAAGGTGTTTATTCATATATTCAGTTCTGCCCTAAGGATTTCTTTTGTAATGCAATAGCTTAATAAACACCCCCCAATTATCGTTCTAGTAACGCCGCTCCTTTATTCATATATTCAGTTCTATCCTATACATCCACCAGCTATAGCGCTTTTTCAATGGCTCAAAAATTGCCCGTGGTTCGTTATAACCTGGATTTAACCCTTTAAATCGAGGGTTCTCTGTTAGGTCAGAATCTGCAATTTCTTTTAAAGCATGCTTACAATGCTTGAAAAAACCACCATCCGGTGGGTATAGCACTATCCAGCTTTCAGTCTACAACTGCCCACGGTTACGAGAAAAAAGCCAAAAACCTCGGGTACGAGCATTCCCAATAGTAATCCCATAATCAGAACCTGCGATCCTACGGGTTATGGAGTCAAGATTGTCCGCATAGTCAATCAGAACCTGAAATTTTCATTACTACGTACTACTCACCACAGTAAAATTAGAGTTAAACTTCTCTTTCGTAATGATCGAGATCTGAAGAGTTCTATAACGCTTGGTCTTCGGATTCGTTTCGCTCGGTTATCTTGCAGTACGCGACTCTCTTTAATTTCCGCCAGGATTTCCTCAGGACACCGCAGCCTGTTGAACATAACTATGCGTCGAACTACACGCTCTGCTTTATCGTACTTTTTGTGAAGAATGAGCCAGCGAAGTGACTCAGGAACAAAACTAGAAATACCATAAAAACAGAAGATTATGCATGTTACAAAACTGGACAAACGCGGAACGCTTGAGCAGGTTGTATAAAACTCTTCCCTACATGTTGGATAGTGAAATCCTAGTTAACTTAGAAATACACGACTCTGATTGGCCAAGATTAGATTCAACAAAGAATAGATATCCCCCCAATCCCCCCCCTTGGAGGGAAATGAAACCTATGACCTTTAATTTGCTAAATCAATGCTCTTCCAACTGATATATCAGGGGCGCTTTCCTTTATACGGAAAAAACGGCCAGACCGTCCTGTTGTATTCCGGCCGGTACAGTCAGATTACTGGTATTTTAGAATGTTTCAAGAACTCTGCATTCAATATATCGTTATTTACATCTGCCTAGCACGGGAAAACTAGTTTCACCGCTATATTCTTAACAAAATGCTCTATTTCAATATACAACACGACCGGTCTGACCATTTTGGCCGCTTGATCCATCTAGTTCAAGCTGTCTCTGGTTACAGTCTGACTTACACATATGGAAGGCACTGGTTTAAGCTCTAAAATCAAATACCATAAAACTGCCATGGTTACGAAAAGAACGCACTTTACCAACAACGAAGACTTACCACAATAAAAGCAGTAAAATAAACGGAATGAATGAGAGGGCTAGTTGAATGTATCTCCAGTCTCGTATTAGGTATGCAAGTATTCCTAACACCACGCCACCAATCACCGCCATAATGCCAAAAAATACGCCAGCTCGTGCACGATACTTCGTCTGGAACAACTCCAACGCCAAGGTGAACGACACCAACATAGAGCCCTTTTTGAAACAGAAGAGTTTATCATGAAACAAAATCAATACTTTATCATTTTTGGCCATTATTACTTTTTGATTAAAAAGGTAAAGTTTCTATGGACTGTTTCCTATAAACATGGTATTGGAGCATTCTGGGAGCCCAAAGCCTATGGGGAGGAAGAAGTAAATTTCACATCCAATGCAGAATTTTACTCAATTTTTGGGTGAGAAAAAAGTCTGTTGCCTGCCACAGAGACTAACTGACCCTGTCATTTCTTTTTATTGGCATAGTTGGTCAATTATCAGATCAGTAGCAGTGATTATTGTTAAATATTAATTAACACAATATAAAGTAGGAAATTAGGCTCATTGTTTTATATTCATTGTTCAGTTACAATAATGCCATAAAGGCAATATACTTAAATCTCAGAGTCTAATTTAGTTTAACAAACTGTATACTTTACATGGTATGTTTGATTACCTGTGTTTGAATACCAAGGAAAAATCTGAGGACAACAAAAGCATAATAATTTCGAAATATAAATATTGCGAAGCTTAAGAGTCCTCCTGATAGAAGAGCAATTCCGAGGGCAGGCTTTCGACCATACTTGTCAGCAAGAAACCCATAAATAAAGGAACCAACCAGAACTCCACCAAAGTACACTGTTGTTGATAGTTCACTTTTATATGCATTATCACAAACAAGATCAAACTAGAAGATATTGAGAGCAAGATCAGTTGGGAGAATATATAGAAACAGCAAGATATATTTGGTTGAAAAAAATTTTTATAGCTTGTCATTGTCCCATATTAACCATTATATATATATATATATATATATATATATATATTTGTGCTTTTTTGCTCTTAATTGAGCCATGTTTCACTTGTGGATATATATATGTAAGGTGTGTTTGTTCTTCTACACAAGTATGACCAACCGGGCAAGCAGAAAATTCTACTTGACCGCGGTGGGAATATATATATATATATTCCACCAATAGGGAGATGCAACTTTCTCCCGTTCATATCTATTTAAACACAGTTAATTAAGCAGTTGAAAATGTAAACAAAATTTAAATAGCACTTAAATACATACACTATGTTTACATTATAGACTTACTGTAATTCCTCTTTAAGCCATTAATTAAAACAACAACACAGTAGATAATTATTACCCGGGCCCAGTTGTTGAAGAAGACTATAGTTAACTTCTACTTGTAGTTTAAAGGACAGAATAATGGCCAATCAGAGTTTTGTATTTCTGAGTTAATTAGGATTTAACTTTGCAAAATGCAACTACAGAGTTTTTATACAACCGGTCCCAGGGCTATAAGTAGACCACTTAATATACTACTCATTCTGGCATAGGACAAATATATCTATAATAGGATTATATCCCCCCCTCCCCATTTAAGCTTTTATATATATAGCTATGCCCTGTTAATTACCTGGTTTGCTAATATCAGTTTAAATACTATATATTTCACAACTTTGTATGATAATACTTGGTTAGCCTTTAAATACCTCAGAGATAATGGTGGTCTCACCATCTTGCAAATTGTATGTCCACCCATCACGACATGGTTCTGTGACATTCATGTTACCATTCATAGTGTACATCCTACACTCATCCAAGTGTTCTTTATTATCCCTCACAACAACAGGTATAAAATCCTGCAAGGTTTCATTAACACCTAATTTGCAGTGATGTGGTGTCTTTGCGGCATAAAATACTGCTATAAGATGGTTGCTTACTACGAACAGCATGTTTGTAACCAAACAAAAATACGAGATCAGTTGAAATCGTCCGGGATCTCCGATGTTTTTAAATAATTCTTCGACTCTCGCAACTTCCATAACGGAGAATATTTTGTTACTTTTACAGCTGGTATATATGGATGGACTTCGATAACCCTCGTAATAATTGCTGAGTAGAATATACAAGCCTTCAAAATGGATATATTCGGCATTCTGCAAACATTTGTTCAGCGATGTTTCATGTCATAACCGATAATAAATAACATTGGAATAACCATGAGCGTAGATAGGATAACACAAAGCAAAATTTTAACGCATGATAGAATAGAATAGATCTAGAATTGCGTAATATGGAGAATTTATACGTCTGTCACACTGATCTGAAATAAGAGTTATAAGACATGGTGTTTTATGGTCCCACCCATTAAAACCGGTTGCTTCACTCTGAAACTCTAAAAGTCCAAAATGGGTTCGTTTAGAGGCAAACTAAGGGCTTGCTTACATGAGCCCGGTTATCCGAGATTCAACGAAGCGTGAGAGGACTTTCAGGTATTGAAATAAGTCTTTATGACACCAAACAAGGACATGCTATAGTTGTGGTGATTATACGACTGCCAGGATCATGTTATCTGCTCATTTCAATACCTCAAAATCATCTCACGCTTCGTTGAATCTCGGGTAACCGGGCTCATGCAAACAGGCCCTAAACCAGCTGGTCAGGGCCGTAGCTAGAGTGCTAGACCGCTTAATTTGGGGGGTGTACATTTATGTATTCATGTTGATATACCGCAGGAACAATAGCGTGCACTGAAAGAAATCAGTCGGGCATAATTTCATTTGGAATTGATTGTTTTTACGAACTCCTAACATGAATACATGAATATTTGCCCCCCCCCCCCTCCACTTAACGGCAATATTGATATTGCCGGCCAAAATGCTTGGAAGAAACCAGAAAACAACTATTGATATGATTTATAATATAACATTTATAGTACGCGCGTGCTGATTGGTCAAGAATATTAGTATCGAATATTTTTTAGTTAGCTCAAATTTACAAGCAATATTTTTAGCAATTTGTATTTTTTGCTTACAAGTATATATGCAGTATATCTTATCTTGAATACTATCGTAACTTTTACTTCTTCAACGTATATTTTAATAACCAATTCAAAGAAATGAGTATTCTAATTTCCAACGATATCTGTCGTAATAAATCCGCCATGTTTACAAATGGATTGAAATTAGTTACGTTCAGTATACATGTTTGGCCACAATAAAAAACAGAGACAAGAAAGGACAAGCATTTTACCATTAAAACAGCATGGTTATCCATGTCAAAATATTTTACATCTTAACCAAAGCATGGTTATATTTTCCGGTATATTCGACCTTAGTCGAGTATACAGTTTTCCGGCCATATTCGACGCTTGCAAGTGGCAACTTTATATAAATGTTTGTATATAAGCACCAAAAACATTAAAACATCGTGATTATCCATGGTGGAGTATACCGCTTTCCGACAATATTCGACCATGGTCGAGTATACTGTTTTCTGGCACATTCGACCATGGTGGATTTATCGTTTTCCGGCCATATTCGATGCTTGCAAGTTGCAACTTTATATAGATTTTGTATATGAGCGCCAAACATTCTGGAAACTTTACATAGGACAAACATTTGACCATTAAAACAGCGTGGTTACTCCATGTCAAAATATTTGACATCATAACCAAAGCATGGTTATATTGTTTAATGTTTGTATATGAACGCCAAACATGCTGGAAACTTTACATAGGACAAGCATTTGACCATTAAAACAGCGTGGTTATCCATTTCAAAATATTTGACATCATAACCAAAGCATGGTTATATTGTTTAATGTTTGTATATGAGCGCCAAACATGCTGGAAACTTTACATAGGACAAGCATTTGACCATTAAAACAGCGTGGTTATCCATTTCAAACAATTTTACATCATAACCAAAGCATGGTTATATTGTTTAATATTTGTATATGAGGGCCAAACATGCTGGAAACTTTACATAGGACAAGCATTTGACCATTAAAACAGCGTGGTTATATCCATTTTAAAAAATTTTACATCATAACCAAAGCATGGTTATATTGTTTAATGTTTGTATATGAGCGCCAAACATGCTGGAAACTTTACATAGGACAAGCATTTGACCATTAAAACAGCGTAGTTATCCATTTCAAAAAATTTGACATCATAACCAAAGTATGTTTATATTGTTTAATGTTTGTATATGAGCGATAAACTCATGCTGGAAACTTTGCAAAGTATCTATAATTTTCCAATAATCCTTAAATTGAGAGGCATTTGCGGCTATTTCAGAGGCCTATGTATATCTAAAATTTTCCCGGACTCTTCTAGCAGCAGGCGTGCGGTTCCGAGCCCCATGCAGCAACACAAAAAACGCTTCGCGGTTCCTGTCTATAACTGTATAGTTCCCGCCGAACTTGACAAGCGTAGTAATGTAATGAGAATGAACTATAGAAAGTCATTGTTCGAGTTCGGGAGAACTCAAAATAACTTGGAAAAACTCGCCCTATATACGGGCTCGTTCTCCGACTGATTATTTCTCGTTCTCCCAAACTCCCACGCGTGTTTCTATATAACTGTATACTAATATTATATAATTGCATGCATGTATACTAATATTATTTAGTATACACCCGACTATCGTCTATTACAAATCCTACATTCTGATTGGCTACTCAACCATTGTCTATTCGTGATGGTGCACGCTTGGGAAAAATTTCGCTCGCGCGACCGTATAAAATTGAATTATTTTTTGGTGTAATTGCGGTGTATCGATTATTTTCTCGAAATTAATATACCTATAGGTACAGGGTGCATACTAAAACAATTAGACAACTCGCCTTCGTTGTCTATGAGCGAATAGTCATCTCAGGCTTCGCCTTCGTTGACTATTCGCTCATAGACAACTCGGACTCGTTGTCTAATTGTTAAATAACTGTATACTAATATTATATAACTGTATACTAATATTATATAACTGTATACTAATATTATGTAATTGTATACTAATATTTATATAACTGTATACTATTATTTTATACTCGTCATATTTCATACTATCCGCTCATATATACGACTCGAGTTCGCAGAATAACTGTTTTATTATATAAACAAACTTTGTTGCCCTTTCGGTGCATTTTGGTGCGCTATTATCAACTAAAGCTTGGATTTCTATTTCACTCAACTCCCCAAATCTTTCAGCCATTTTGTTTACTTTCTCTACTAGGCAGATATGAGCTAATATCTGTCTTGTGGCCAACCAATGAAATTGCAGCATACCTCATATCTGGCGCTTGGGTGTATAGTAAAATTTATTTTATTTAAAATTTATTTCATTATCTATTTCTTAAATGCAAACGCATGCATTTATAGCCGGGAATAGGTGTGGGTAAATTAATTACGATTTTGTGGCACTTCACTCGATGTAGGTAAATATATAATTAAGTAAATATATATATATATATATATAATATATATAATATATATATATATATATTATATATATATATATATATATATATATATATATATATATATTTATTGAAAGACTAGCTTAGCTACTCGGAGTTTCACGCTATAAAGCGATCATCAGGCTAATGGCAGGTCTGGTTGCTATTCTCTATATTTACATCGTGATATAAGGTGTCGAATTACGTGTCTACATTTCGTAAAGAGTTCAGAGCGTTTGTTCAGCAGTGTTCTAGTTTTGTCTTTCATGATATGGAGTTTCTCCTCAAGGCAGAGGTTGCATCTTCTTGAACCGGCTTTGTAGGCTGGGACAGTTTTCAGTAGGGACCATGAAATCGAAAAATCTTTCTTAGCTTCCTTCAGCTTCCATATGTGTTTCGACAGTTCCGTCTCCTTGGCATACTTCTTATTCGCGAAAGATTTTGCGTGATTTCGGTAGCGTGTTTTGAAAACGTCCGCAGTGACTCCGATGTACCTGGCTGGTGGATCGTTGTTGCGCGTGGACACTTCGGCTTGGTAGACTACGTTTGATGTGAGGCATTTACCTTCAGCTGGGCATTTTTGATGGGGCCGAAATCTGCGAACTCGTCGGTCTATTCATCTTGAATAAACTTGAAGGGCAACTGGAGAACGTCGGACTGTACCGCGATGACGGCCTCGCCGTTATACGCACTACATCAGGCAGATTATGTGACAAAGCCAGAAAACAGTTGACTAAAACTTTCTCGAATTTCGGGCTGAAAATCACCGCCACGGCCAACTTGAAGCGGGTAAATTTTCTTGACGTCACACTTGACTTGGCTAACGGAACATACAAACCCTACAGAAAACCCAACGACGACCCACTATACATCAACCGCCTTTCCAATCACCCACCCGCTATCACACGACAACTTCCATCATCCATCAACAAGCGAATCAACAAATTATCATGCGACAAAACAACTTTTGACGCTGCGTCTCAATTGTACAACAACGCACTGAGACAAAGCAACTACGACGCAACACTTACGTACGAGCAACCAACCAACAACGTAGACATCGACAGCAGCAACACAACGCAAAAACGTAAACGGCATCGCCATATAATCTGGTATAACCCCCCTTATTCGAAAAACGTAAAAACGAACATCGGACAACAATTCCTACATCTGTTAGACAAACACTTCCCACCTTCCAATCAACTCCATAAAATTTTCAATCGACATAACGTACGAATCAGCTACGGCTGTCTTGACAACATGCGCTCATTCATAAACAAACACAACAAGAAAATACTGAACAAACACACAAAACAGACAAACGCAAACACAAACGACACAAGCAAACAACGACAATGCAACTGCAGACTACCGGAAAAATGCCCAGCTGAAGGTAAATGCCTCACATCAAACGTAGTCTACCAAGCCGAAGTGTCCACGCGCAACAACGATCCACCAGCCAGGTACATCGGAGTCACTGCGGACGTTTTCAAAACACGCTACCGAAATCACGCAAAATCTTTCGCGAATAAGAAGTATGCCAAGGAGACGGAACTGTCGAAACACATATGGAAGCTGAAGGAAGCTAAGAAAGATTTTTCGATTTCATGGTCCCTACTGAAAACTGTCCCAGCCTACAAAGCCGGTTCAAGAAGATGCAACCTCTGCCTTGAGGAGAAACTCCATATCATGAAAGACAAAACTAGAACACTGCTGAACAAACGCTCTGAACTCTTTACGAAATGTAGACACGTAATTCGACACCTTATATCACGATGTAAATATAGAGAATAGCAACCAGACCTGCCATTAGCCTGATGATCGCTTTATAGCGTGAAACTCCGAGTAGCTAAGCTAGTCTTTCAATAAATATATATTATCGCTCTGCCAGTAATGGTATTGAGCGCTCTCCAACCATTGTCAAGTTCT